TTGGTCCCCTCTAATCTTACACTCTCAGCACATAGCACAGCAGACTGCATGCAGCTTAGGATGTCCCTCTAGATCCCTTCTGGAGTCACAGCAAGAACACCCTACATCAGAGAAGTGACCTGGTGCACACAGTTTAGTGGGGCCTGGAGGAGAACAGCTGGGGAGATAAGGCATCAGCCTGTGCCACTGACTCTGCTTTCCAGATACACTCCATCTGTATGTCACACAGTTCCCATTTACAGATTAGAAAAGAAAGACTCCTAGGTACCTTTGCTTGGACAAGGTCACTTTTGAGCATGGGCAAAGCTGAATTTGAATGTAGGTCTTGACACTACAGTACCCTGGCTCCAGATTATATAGAGTAGGTGCTTAGCAAACACCCCAAAGCCATTTAGACTATTCCCACTGCCCATATGCCATGCCCTCTACCAACCTACAAGGAACCTTCTCACTCTCTACTACAGATGATGACATGAAGCCCACTGGGGCTCTTAATAACCCCACACTAGCCGGGCGGTGGTGGCGCACGCCTTTAATCCTAGCACTCGGGAGGCAGAGGCAGGCGGATCTCTGTGAGTTCGAGGCCAGCCTGGTCTACAGCGCGAGATCCAGGAAAGGCGCAAAGCTACACAGAGAAACCCTGTCTCGAAAAAACCAAAAAAAAAAAAAAAAAATAACCCCACACTAGTGAGCATCTCGGGCATGGTTTATAAAATGGGTCTCTGGATGTCGATGTTTCCCTCCACTAAGCAAATCAGCTCAGGATATTGGCAGCATCACTGGGCTGTGCTGAGTGCCAGATGAATCAGCCTTCATGCTTCTTGCCACTGGGCACCCACAGCCACCACAGTGGCTGCTACTTATCACCTTTACAGGATGAGATGCCACACTCTCCCTGGAGAAACTTGAACCACATCAGAGCCTGAGAGCAGTGGGACCAAGGTCTTCAGGAGAGAAAGGAAGGCCAGCTGTTTCTGCTGATTAGGACAGCTGTCCCTAGGCACTAGCCACTACCTCCACCAACACAACCTACCAGCAGCTCCTGGGTAGGAAGCCAAGGAGGCTGAGAAAGAAAGAATGAGCCTATGTGAGGCAATTGTTCCCCCATTGTGAGCAGATACTTCCCATTCCAGGCCCAGAGGACAGGGACAGGAGCCCTGTCTCTGGTCCACTTCCTGCTTCCTGTGTCCCCACGTGAGGAGTGGACCCAGAGGCCAACTCTGCTAATGGCCGGCTCTCGGGTGATGTCATCTATCTGAGCCTCAGCATCTTCATCTTTACAGTATCTGCCTGTGCCGCAGGGTGTGCTGTGACTTGCAAAGAGAGACAGGCAGAGCAACAGGTTCGAGCCAGCCAGGAGGCACCCCAAGAGGAGTTGTAGCTAACTAGCATGTGCCAGTAGCCACGCCCACTCGGGGCCTCAACCTTGACCAGCTATTTGCTTCTTCAGCCCCAGCCCCAGTTTACCACCTCTGGGCACTGAGCATGGAGCACTCTCTCTGAACAAGTGTGTGTAGCAGGAGATTGTGTGTGGTGCATGCATGTCAGTGCATGTGCACGTGTGGAGAACAGAGCAGGACGCTGGGTATCATCTTCTATTGCTTGCTGCCTCATTGTCTGGAGTCAGGGTCTCTCTGAACTGGACGTTCACCTCCTCTGCTAGGCTGACTGGCCACCGAGCTGTCAGGGTCTACTTATCTTCTTCTCCTCAATACTGGGGTTATAAGCATGCACAACCATGCCCAGTTTTTTACATGGGTGCCAAGGATTCAAATGCAGGTCCTTAAGCTTACAGAACAGGCACTCTTACCCACTGAGTCATTTTCCCAACCCCATTAGAACTTTTGTTTTTTTAGAAAAAATTTCCGATAGCCCAGGCTAGCCTCAGACTCACTATGTATTCAAAGCTGACTTGAACTCCTCATCCGCTCATCTCTGTCTCTTGGGAGTTGGGAGTATAGGTCTGTGCTACTATGCCTGGCTAGAATTCCAGAACTTTCTGGGTTTCTCTCTGTCTCCCAATTTGAGTTTCATTGCTTCCTTTGGCCCTGGAGGTCTGCTAAGAACCGGCTCCAGCAAGTTGTTATCATTCAACTATGGGGGGTCCCAAAGACCTAGCCCTGCCAATACTGAGCAGTACCAGCATAGCACACTGTAAGTCAGCCTCCATGGGCTGTGGCCTACTTGGCCACACATTGGCTACAGGGTTGGGTTGGCTTGTAGCAGAAAGGAGGAGGATCCAGATCACAGGATGGACCTGGAACCCTCCAAAAAATATCATGGAATGGCTCAGATGTGGTGAGTATGGGCTTGGCGGGGACCCCTCGCTGCTGGAAGCAAGAGCATGTGTGTCAGAGGGTCTGGGCTGAGGAGCGTTGGCAGTGGCTACAAATCTGGGAGCTGAGGCCGAGAAGATCTTTGCCCTGCTTACAGCCAGCATGTGCCAAATCCTCCCTGCCAGAGCATTTCCCAAGCAGGTTCTGGGAGCATGTTGGCACTGTTCGGGCTTCACAGGAGGAGAGAAAGGCAAGTGGGAAGTCAGCATGCCTTCCCAGGCTTTGCTCTTAACCCCTGTAGAGCATTTCATCCCCACGAATGGAATTGGAAAGCACTCACGGATAACATGATGAAAAAACTGGGCCTCAGTTTCCAAATCTAGCAGGTATGCTAGATCTGGCAGAAAGGAGAGCTGGCAGAATGTCATCACACACAACCATGGGAAATATGCAGCCGGGCATGCCTAGCCCTCAGGCCCTTGTCATGGGTCAGCCTGGGGCCTAGTAGCTCCCAGAGTCTCTGCCAGGGCCTCGTGAGCCCCCGTACCCTGGCTGAGTGCAGTTATTGACAGGATTCTAGTTGAGTCCTCACTGTTGTCATTCTTGGTGTATAAATGACATGTCTGGCGAGATCCTGGCAGTAGACCATGGGCCGATGTGTATAAGAAGTATGCAGCTCACGTCAGCCCCATGGCCCTCGCCATTCTCTCTGGCCTGAGTGCTGAGGACTCACTTGGACTGTTGGGAACTTGGACTCACCAAGGAAGTGGGGGACAGAACACTCTCTCCACATGGGGAGCCCATGAGCCCACTGCCTTGGTGTCAGTGATGGCCATCATCTAAAGTCACTGCATAGTGTACACACACACACACACACACACACACACACACACACTCCAGGCCAGGCTATCCCCACACCTGCCTTGTCCCCACCTTGCCCTTCCTATATAAAGCACTTCATCTGAAGGTATGACTCTAAGCTGGGTGCACAGCTGCTGGGCAGCCCTGTCTACTCAGGAGGCTAAGGCAGGAGGATTGCTTGAGCCCAGGAGTAAAAGACCAATCTAGACAACTTAAAGAGATCCTAATTGAGAGAGAAAGAGGGGGGGTGGAGACAGAGAGAGTGAGCATTTAGTGGTGGAGCACCTGCCTGCAGAAGCTGGGCCTGGTCTGCATGCCCAGCATGCAGAAACAGCCAAATACAAGTGTGGTCCTAAATTATGACCAAGAGCCCTGGGTACTCATGCAAGGTGGCCTGTCATTCGGGGGGACAGAGCTTCCATTAGGATGGCCCAGAAGTCCCTCCATTATTTACCTCAAAACTCACCCCTTCTAAGCCACTCTCTGAGGGATCCTAGGAACCCTCTACTTTCCCATTCCAAGCCTGCAGCTTTGGACCAGCCCCAGCCCCACAAGCCAACCATGCGTCCCACCCCACTGAAAGAATATACACTCGGACAATCCTCAATCTCCATGCTGAACTCTCAGCCAGAAGCCATAGTTGTCTTTTCCCTGAAGGACATCCCCAAATCAGTATTCTCTGGGGACCCTCAGGCAGCCCTGTGGTGGCTCTCCCCTGAAAGCTTTCTACACAGTGGCCAGTATCACACGTTTCTCAAGACAAGTGGCAGCTTCTAGTATGCCTGTGTTCTTCCCTCTCTGGTTCCCTTGTGACACCACACCAAGGAAAGAGTACCACTGAGTCACACATGGCCTTGGGCTACCTCCCAGGGACTGGAGACAGAGAGCCATTGTCCTGCTTTGAGCTGAGGACAGTGCTGGGGAGGTGTCCATTCCCTGCATGTCCTGAAGCCATCTGAGTGTCTACCTGTCATCAGCTCCATTGTGTTACTAAGCTGACAACGGCATGCTGAACACGGACATGGAGATGGAACTTTCCACTGCTTTCATGGACTCCGAGTTCGTGATGGAACTCAGCACACTCATAAGCAGAGAACTCAGTTTCTGATATATGTGTCACACAGAGAATCAAGCTAGGAGTGGATGGAGCTGGGGGAAGCCAGACCCCGAGGATGGGCACCAGAGCTGAGAGCCCAGAAAGTCAGAGAGTGAGCTGGAGGGCTGGAGAACATCTGGGGAGGATTCGACGGGGTGGTGGGTGCAAAGGCTGTGGGATAGGAATGACCTATATGGTCTGGCAGATTGAGCCCCAGAGAGGAGTGTCACACAGCCTCCAGGAGGGTGTCACAGGATCAGCAGGGCCAGTGGTGAGTGGTGGGCTAAAGAAGGGGCCGATGAGAGTCTACCCAAGACAGGCCAGTCAGGTGACCTCTGGCCTCCTAGCCTCCTTTGCTCTCTGCTCTGGCCATACAGCTTCCCTTCGGTTGCCCCCCGTAACACAGCTCAGCACCATTCCTGGTCCTCTGCGCTGATGTTTCCTCCCTGACATTCCAGGTGAAACAGGAGTCAGACCCTAGTGGTGCGGGACAGGAGACTTTCCCCTGCTCAGGCTGTGGAGCTCCTTTGCCAGTGGCCCACTCACAGGCAGGAAGAGGGTGGGCTTGTCTGAGCAGGTTTTCAGACCCCCTCATCTAGGCACACACCTTCCCATGTGCACACATCAGCATCACCCGTGGAGCATCCGTCGCACCCCCAGTGCGTCACACAGGTATTCCCAAACCTTTCCTCCTCAGCCCTCAGAGGCCTGCCAGCCGTTTATACCCATCACTCAGGGGGAAATAATGTCATTTCTATAACACTCACCCTCTCCACAGAAGTGCTGTAACCGTGCAGAGATGACATTGCGGGCAGCTCAGCTTGTGTGAGTGATGTAATCTTGGGGCGTTGCCTAGCAACCCCAACAACGTTTGGGAGACTCTGATTCTTGAGTGGGGTAAAGTCACATTTACACAGCTCAGTTAATCAGCTTCCTGGCAACTCCGCCAGGATGATCTCATTTTATTCATGATTATTTTATGTGAAACGCGCTTTTAGCTCTAAGAGAACACAAAGATTTAATTCAACACCCGCTATTGCTCTATGTTTCCAGGGTGTCGTTAACACGGCGTCCATGCAGATAACCATGGCAACACATGGGTAATTAGTGTATATGACGGGAGGTATTAATACAGAGCCGGCAGGCTCCCAATCAGCCCGATTACCACGTGTCATTACTGCAGTAATTACCTGCACTAACACGCAAATTGAACTAAATGGTCAATTGAAGTAAAGTGAATGGCTTTTTATTCTAGTCCCTAAATAATGTGTCTGCTTGGCTGAGTAGTTCAAGGTAAATAAAACTCTTAAATTGATGGCCTCGTTGCCACCCCTCCCTGGGTGGGAGAACTAGGCTCTGAGGGTCCCCAAGGGTCCTCACAGTTTTAGCAGGAGGTAATGTTCCCCTCCCCCAGGCTCTGTACCACCTCCCCACGAGAGGAAAACTGCCTCCGCTGTCCATACAGAGCTCTGATCCTCATTAACTATCCTCAGCCATCCCGCAAGGGTATCTCAGTCACCCCCAAGGGAGGGCATGGAACTTTCCAGAATGAGGGTGGAGGGCAAAAGGCAATGGCCTTCCTCCCAGGGATGTTTCCTTGCTCCCCTCGGGTAGGTGGGGCAGAAGTGAATCTCTGGCTTCCTGTTACAGGATGTTGGGGGGGAAAGGTCAAAGGTCACCCTGCCTTTATTAACAGAGCGTTTCTGAAATTCCATAAACTTAGAAGATCTTCAAACAGGAAGTCACACTGGACCTCTCAGAGAAGCACGCACATTCCAAGTCTGAACGCTGATCCCTTCAGAGGGGACAGAGGGAGGGGGTGGGGACATCAGCCGGGGGCCCTGGTGAGGAGACAATGAAGTCAACCTTGTCCCCCTTGTGATACAGCAATGGGGTCTGAACACGGCAGTTCAGTCCAAAGCTCGGAGTCTTTAGGTCTCTTCCAATGGGCCCGTCCCTGGGGGCATCTTCAGGGCTGGCCTAGAGGCCTAGGCAAAAGGATACCTTGAAGGCAAAGACAGGGTACAGGCCTCCCTGAGGAACCCTGCTTAAGCTGGAACAGGGAGGGTGAGGGCGGATAAAGAACAGAAGAGGGCTAGAGGAATGGGTCTCTGTGGGGGAGGGGGGAAGGGGGGAGGCAGCGGCGATGACCGGATGTCCTGCCACACGGAGTGTGCAAACTCCACCACAGCCCTGTTGCTTCCCAGGGTTGCAGTGTAGAGGTCAGGTAGGGAAGGTGCTGTCTCTACAAAGCACACTAAGGTCCTCAGCTCTCAGATTGAGGGCCCATCTGTCAGAACTGAGGTGACAGAGGACCAGAAGTGAAAGTCACTCCATTGCAAAGGGGGTCTGTGGCTGTCCGTGCATAATTCTCACCTCATGGTCCCTGCACAAGGCATTGTGCACGTACAGATCCGTGACACCCCAGAGATTACAAGGGCACTTACAGCAGTACCATCCTCCCCACAAACCTCTCTAGAGTGGTAGGGACATTAGCCTACAGGCTTCAGGTTAAGATGAAAGTGAGGCTGGACCTAGGACAAGCCCTGTGATCGGTGGGGACTGTGACTAGGGAGACATACAACATAGGCTTATAAAAGAAGAGAACAGAAAAGCCAGCAGCTCTGACTCTGCATGTGACATCTGGGGACACTGCAGCCTGAGTGAGTAGCCACATAGAGGCAGAAGAAGACTGATACCACCTCCAAGCAAGAGGCCTGTGCCCATGGGTCAGGTCCACTCTGCGCCCAGTACACAGCACTGCAGAACGCAGTGGCTGCTGATGCCAGATGAGGGGCCCAGGAACTAGGCTGGTGTTACTGAATAAATGTCCCCCCAGGCCCATGTGTTGAACTCTTGTTCCCCAGACAGTGACAGTGTTTAGGGAGATCTGAGAGGTTACTAATGGGTATCATGTCTCTGGTGCCTCCCTGTCTCTCCACTTTCTGGCTGTGCTCAGCTGAACAACTCTGCTCCACATGTCCCCACCGCCACAGTGTCCCGGCCAACAGCACGGGGCCAGGTGACCAGGGAGCAAGCACTTGAAACTGTCAGTCCACATAAACCATCCTCCCTCTGGTTGTTTCTAGCAAGGATTTAGGTCACATGACCTGGAAGCCAATTAATAACAGTCTGGGAACACCGAACTCACTAGGGCTAGGCAGGGCAGGACACATAAAGCAGGTAGAGCCAGCCCCAATTCCTCCAAACCAGAAAGAGAAAGAAAGATTTTAAAACTGGAGAACACCAGGAGCTGGTAAGATGGCTCACTTGGGGGCGCTAGAGAGATGGCTCAGAGGTTAAGAGCACTGGCTGCTCTTCCAGAGGTCCTGAGTTCAATTCCCAGCAACCACATGGTGGCTCACAACCATCTATAATGAGATCTGGCTCCCTCTTCTGGCCTGCAGGGATACATACAAACAGAACACTGTATACATAATAAATAAATCTTTAAAAAAAAAAAAAAAGATGGTTCACTTGGTAAAGCAACTGCCACATAAGCATGAAGACCTGAGTTCAGATCCCCTGCATCCGTGTTAAATTGGGTATGATGGTGTGTGTCTATAGATCCAGTTCTGGGGCATAGAGACAGGCTGATTCCTGCAGCTCATTGACCAGCCAGCCTAGCCAAATTGATGAGCTCTTAAAAAATAAGGCTGAAAGGGTTACAAAGAGCTCAGCAGTTAAGGGCACTGACAGTTATTTTATAGAGGACCCAGTTTAATTCCCACGGCAAGGCTCTAAACCACCTTACTCCAGTTCCAGGGGATCCAACACCATCTTCTGGCCTCTGTGAGCACTAGCACACACGTGGTGCACACACACACATATGTATGAAATCTTTAAAAAATAAATCTCTCTTTAAAAAATAAAATAAGGGGACTAGAAAGATGGCTCAGTGGTTAAGAGCACTGGCTTCTCTTCCAGAGCACTCAAGTTCAATTCCCAGCACCCACACGGCAGCTTGCAACCATTTATAACTCCAGTTCGAGGGAATCAGACACCCTCTTCTGACCTCCTAAGACACTACACATATGTGGTGCATACAAAGACATGCAAGAGAGAGAGAGACAGAGAGAGAGAGAGAGAGAGAGAGAGAGAGAGAATCCTTAACACAGGACCTGAGGGCCATATTACTTACCTGTAAACTCTACTTGTGGAAAGCTGGCCACAATTCTAATCTTGTCCTGACTTTTCCAGAACACAGATCAGACATACTCTTTGACTGTATTGTAAGAATGACATAGTCTTAAAATTAAACTAAAAATAAATGAGAATGTTTAAGCCAGAAGGTAAGCAAGGGGCCAACGACTCAACATTTAGTGATGAGGTCAGGAACACAGCACAGACAACACACACTTTGTGCCCCAGGGACTTTGTGTTCGCAGCCCTAGAAAAAAAAGAGTATCTCATGTATAGAGATGTGAACATACATATCAAAAGATTAGAGTGGAATTCAGCAGTGAAAAGAGCAGCCATGAAGAGCTGGTTTTATATTAGAGGTACAGATTTTATTATTATTATTATTATTTTATTATTATTATTATTATTATTATTATAATTAAAAAAGAGATTGGTGTAAACAGCGCAGGAATAGAACAAGAATCTTATCTCAAAGGTGCTGGGGCACATGCCTTTGACCCCAGCACCCAGGAGGCAGGGGCAGTCGGATGTCTGTGAGTTCAAGGCCAGCCTGGTCTACACAATGAGAGCCTGTTGTTGTTGATGATGATGATGTTGTTGCTGGTTTTAAGTAAGATTTAGAGGATGAGAAGGATGCCCCCAAGTGCAGTCTTCTGGCCATGAACTCACTGAGGCTGTACTTACCTCCACCAAACCTACCCAAGATGATGCCAACAGGATCGGTCAACATGCCAACAGGCAGCACTAGCTGGACTCTGGGAGGGAAAAACAAAAGCAAGGAGAGGACTTAAAGAGGGGAGGGAGCCTGTTGGGGGGGTCTGGTTGTTTAGGAGGAGTAAGGGGAAAAAGGGGTGGGACTAATTAATATCCACTGTTTACATGTATAAAATTCTCAGGGCTGGAGAGATGGCTGAGTGGTAAGAGTACTTGCTACTCTTTCAGAGGACCTGGATTCTGTTCTCAGCACCCTCAGGGCAGCTGACATCCATCCCTCACTCTGGTTCTAGGTGGTCTAATACCCACATCTGGCCTTGGCAGGGACCAGGCATTCACGCAGTACACTTACATACATGCAGGCAAGATATTCAGGCACATAAATAATTTTTTTGTATCTTTAAAGAATCAATAAAAGATACTCTATTTAAAAAGAAAGATCTGAAGAAGCAGTTTTTGGTGGGAGGATTTGAAAGCTTCCCCTCTGACCCCAGAAAGGAAGTATTTCACCTCGTACTGTGTCCCTTCAGCACTGCAGGAGCAGCTGTGGCCAGTGCAATAAGATAAGAAAAACAAATAAAAGGTGGAAAGACTCCCAGAAAGGCAGGGACAAAACTGTCATTTTCACAGGTGGCAGGATTGTACACATAGACCTGAAATAACCTACTGATCAACTATCAGAAATACTGAGTATAGCAGAATGTTGAATGCAAAATCAATGCACAATGTCATATTTGTACATAACAGGACTCAACAGTGAGCTGGAGAGAGGGTTCAGTAGTCCAGAGTGCTTGCTGTTCCTTCAGGTAACTGAAGTTTGGTTCCTAGCACCCATGTTGGGTGGCTCACAACCACCTGTAACACCAATTCCAGGGGATCTGATGCCCTGTTCTGGCTTCCAAAGTCCCTACACATATGCAGCATACACTCACACAGACAAACATATGTAAAATAAATAATAAAGTAAGTCTTTAAAATATAGAACTAAGCAAATAGACTTTTTTTCAAGGTTAGGGCTAGGGGTGTC